GTAGCACTTATGGATAACTAAGGAAGAGTGAGGATACTCATTTATATTTTGTTTGTTTTTTTGAGACAGTTTAGCTATGTAAAACAGGCTGACCTTGAACTCATGTGTAGCCAGGCTGGCCTCAAACTCACTATCCTTCTGCTTCGCTGGGAATACAGGCATGTGGCACCACGCTTGTGTTCATATATAGTTCTTTTTAACCTTTTCTCTTAGGGTGGCAGATAAAAGCATGAAACAGAAAAATAAAAACCTGAAAGCCTTTTTTGGTAAAGCCCCCATAAATGGAAGGTGCTATATAAGCAGATACTCTGGATTTACCATGAACTTTAAAGGAAAAAAAAAAATAACACAATCATTAAAGTGCTATTACCTCATAAATTTAAGCATGGAAGTCCTATGAGACAGTACTAAATCTCAAATGATTTTTAAAAATTAAGTAAAATGGCACTGACTACCCCTGCCCAAAAAAACCTGATAAAAAGATATTATGAAAGCCAGGTGTGGTGGCAAAGCCCAGCACTCGGGAGGCTGAGGCAGGAGGATCTTTGCAAGTTCGAGGCCAGCCTGGGCTACAAAGGGAGCTCAAGGCCAGTTTGAACTCCATAGCGAGACCCTGTCTCAAAAAGACCAAAAAAGAAAAAAAGAAAAAAAAAAAGGTATTATAAATTAGAAAGTAAAAAAAAAAAAAAAAAGCCACTGAAAATATATAGGTAAAGGAACTTTTCTGTACCGTTAATGAGAATTTTAACGTAGTATAGCCATTATGGAACTCAGCATGCAAGTGCCTCAAGTAAGTAAAAATAGAGAGACAATATGATGTTTACACATGTGAGTCTGGTTTATTTCACTTATGAGTATGGTCTGTAGTTGCATCCACTTACCTATAAAAGCCCTGAGTTTATCCTTCTTTATAGCTAGTGTAAGAAACTGAAAGAGTAAATAAGATACAAAAGGTACAACAGATATTGTGAAAGGGAAATAAATGCTCGAAAGGAAAGAACAACTGGGATGGGAGAAAGGGGAAAAGAAGGAAGAGAAAAAAATACATATATACACACAAGACAGCTAAGATAACTGTACTACTAATTTCTATTGGTTTATTGAAAGAAACAGTGCTTATATTGTTTGATCAATTTTGCATGCCTGTATCTGGTAATCTGAACAACTACTTTGCAGATAACAATATGCAATACAATAACCATTGTTAATTTCCTATCATCTTGTTTTGAAATTCTGTATTTTTTTCTCTCTTTAAAATAAAAAAAGTAAAAAATAGAGCTACTATTTGTTCTACCATTTCCCAGCATTTTCCCAGAAGAATCAAAGGCAGTGTACTATACAGGTAGCTGCATAGCCATGCTTACTGCAGCTCAATTCATAACAGTTAAGCTACAGAAACTGCCCAGATACCCATCAGTGGATGGATGGAAGAAAGTACAGTATACAGACACAACAGAATACTATCTAGACACACAAAAGAAAACCATGTCATCTGCAGGTAAATGGATAGATGTGGACATCGTCCGTGAAGTGAAATAAGCCAGACTCAATAAAGTCAAATAAGCCAGGTGTGGCGGCACATGCCTGTTAATACAAGCACTCTAGGAGGCTGAGGCAAGATGATTCCAGGGTCGAGCCTAGCCTGGGCAACTTAGTGACTTAGTAAGACCCTGTCTCAAAATAAAAGAGGAAAAAGGAAGCTGGGGATATAGCTCAGTGCAAAGGCCTTGGATTCAGTCCCTGGTATAGTTTTTTTAAAAAGGTCAAATATTGCATGTTTTTTCTCATATAAGGAACCTGGGGGCTGAGCGGGAGACTGTTAGAGAAGAGGAAGGAATAGGGCAGGGGAAGAAAAAGGGAAAGGGGTAATGGGGGGATGATCGAAGTGTGTTTCATGAAGATATAAATATGCCAAAATGAAACCCCCAGTCTGTATAACTAGTATGTTCTCATTAAAAGAAAAAGGGAAAAGAAAGCCAGGGAAGTTCATGATAAACCTACGAGGCAACATTAGAACATTTGTTGACTTCACAGTACAGCAGTCAGCAGGCTTCTTTATGTCAGTGTCATTGCCAACCGAAAACAGACCCTTTAAGAGTGCCAGGAAAGAGATTAAAGCTGGGTGTTGCGATGCACACCTGTAAACCCAGCTGCTAGGGAGGCTGAGGCAGGAAGATCATAAGGCAAATTGGAGGCCAGCCTCGCTGACAAGATGCGCCTCAAAATAAAAAAATAAAAAGGGTTGCAGATGTAGTTCAGCACTTCATAGGTTCAATCCCCACCAAACTGCCCACCCCAAGGAAGGAAGGAAGGACGGAAGGAAGGAAGGAAGGAAGGAAGGAAGGAAGGAAGGAAGGAAGGGGTAGGAGTGGAAGAAAAGGAGATCCAAGATTTTTCAAAAAGGGCTGAAGACCTCAGGATGAAATATAAGTAAAACATACAGGTATGTTTGTTTATATTAGAATATAGTATCTTTAAAAGCACTCACTCAACAGCTCAGGCCTACACCCTTCACTTACTTTATCAAAGCCTGACACGAAGAACGAACAAAACGCTCAATAAGCTGGTGTACAAGCTCTGGTAAGGATCCTTCCCCCGCCCTACAAAGGGCACAGGGGGGTGGGCCACCTCTCCCGTCTCTCTCTGTCCCACTCTGGAGACTGGCTCCTGCCTGTTGCTTGACCTCTCCTGACCTCCCCTCCACTCCCACCCTTGAGAATCTCCCCATCCCACCTCATCCCTACTGCTGCCTGACAAGCTTTACGTAACACACCACCGTGGCTTGTCAGTCATTTTGACTGCACAGATACTTTGGAAAATGATTCCCCTTAGCAGCCTTTAGTATCCCAGGTGAATTCAAAGTGAGGCTCAGAGAAATCTACGGAGGTGATTATGTATAATATAGACACGGTTACCTTGTCTCCCTGTTCTTCTAAAAAATGAGAACCACAAGAACAACTCTGAAATTAGAAATGTATCAGAAAAAGCCAATGACGACTTAGTAGTTTATATTTTAGCTGCTGGAAGTATTTTTAAAGTAACTATCTGACGCAAGCTTGGTGATGTCTTATTCATGGTGCTTAAGTGTCTACATCACAGTGTACTGCACGGCCAGGATACAGGGATGAATGCACAGATGTGTACATAAGTAATCGATTCAAGGCAGAAACATGATGAAGAAATGGATTCTGTAGAGTAAGTGATGTAAGGCAAATGAGATAGCATGAAGCTGTAAGGGTTGATCTAAGGGGTAGGCCTTGAAAAGTCAGGCAGATAGTTACTGATGGGAGGAAGAACAGAAGAAATAGCATGAGAAAGAGGGCCACTGAGGTGGGAAGACAGACCACCTGAAGAGAACTGTGATTAGTTCAAATCTGGTCAGAAAGTAGAACAAGAAAAAGGGAATTAGGCCCTGCTTTGCATGGTGAGCACAGGGCTTCTGACAAGCTTATAAAGGAAAGAAATGAAGCTACTACACGGATGAAATTGTCTGATCAATCTTCCATGCCTACATTTGTTTATCCTAGTAACCAATTTGAAGATATCAATATGTAATATAACATCCATTGTTAATTTCCTATCACCTTGTCTGAAATTCTGTATTGCTTGTATTGTTTTTATGTTATTTTGTAAATGTATGTGCGGTTGTTAATGTGTTTTCATTCTTTTATCTTCAGACCAAGAAGAGATGACTAGAAATACCTAGATTTAAGAGAACTCCCTCTCCTACAACACTGCTGTTGTGAAGATTAACTACTTTCACCATTTCCTACCTAAAACGATGCTGAATTCTGTAATTCATTTCTAAGCAACAAATGATAAAGTGTGGAGTGTGTTTAAGCTACCTAATTCAGAAAAAGAGGTCATGAAGACTTGTACATAATGTGCATACATTTAAAAGATCTGGGAAATTCAGTTATGTAGAATAAAAGACTAAACAAACTATATAAGCAGCTTTCCCCATTAGCCTTGAGGAAGAAAGAACTGAAGTGATTTGTGAGAAAATGGATGCGTCTTCAGACCATAATGTTAAGTGAAATAAATCAGAGAAGCTTAAATATCTCCTGGTTTCTCTTATATGAGAAACCCAAAGTATAAATAAATTAAAAAGCAAAATAAAAGATAGATACTAAGAAACAATAAGATATCTTTTTAAATTTTTTTTGTTTTTTGTTTTTCTTCTGGTACCAGGAATCGAACTCATGACCTTGCGCTTGCCAGGCAGGTGCTTTGCTGCTGAGCTAAATCCCCAGCCCCAAGGTATCTTTTTTTTGCAAATGGGAAGAGGACAAAGAGATGGAGGGTAAGTGGGGATTGGGGAAGAGAAGGAGACATAAAAAGAATTAAAATGTATTACGTCCATGTACCAACTCCCCATGATAAACGTGACCGCTACATACTGCAAACATGTACTCATAAAAATTTAAGCATTTAAAAACCAATATACTACACCCTCAAGCCAATCTACTGGAAAGTCAAGATTAACTGTTACAATCATACAACCTAGCACTTAGGCTTCCTATAACATTTACCAACGGGAAATAACGGAGAAAGAATGGCCCAAAATTAGTAATTCAGATTTACACAGCATAGATATGCCCCAGAATCTGTGTATGATTACAGTGTACAATATGATCATGAAAGATGTTTCAAAGTTTGTCCCTTAGAGATATACCCCAGCAGAAAATGAAAGTATAGCATACTACACTATACTTTCTAAGGTTAGAGCCAAATAATATATAACTAGTTATTTTAAAATCATTTTAATAGGCATTAAAACTAAAGGGTTATTTCATTTCATTCTCAAGCTAATGACCTAGAATGTATCCCATTCTTTGAACACACCAGTTGGTTGATGAGCTAGACTATGTCTCATTCTTTGAATACTTTACTTAGTTGATAGTGCATACAATGAGTTCCAAAAGCTGTAATTCTGGCAGTTTTCATAAGGAAAGAATGCCATTGCTTAGCAGACGAGGTAGAAACATGATTCTTAGTACCTTTATGGTTTCCGTGGGCACTCCAGGCTCGGGAACTTTGTCCAAGTAAGTGGTCAGGTCTTGATCAACATGTTCGAACACTAGTGTTAGTTTTGTCTCTCTATCTGTCCGAGACACTGTGCACACATCAAACAACCTAGAAGAAAGAAAGCGATTAAGTAGGTGGGAATAAGTAAAGAAGTAGTCCATACGTCTTACACATATCCCTCAATTTCATCACACACCAGGGCAAAAAAAGGGCCAGTGTGTATCACTCCTCCTGTGATCTACGTAAGGAAACCTAATGGGGTTTGATTCTTTTTTTGTTTGTTTGTTTTTTTCCGGTACCGGGAACTGAACTCACGACCTCGTGCTTGCCAGGCAGGTGCTGGGCTGCTGAGCTAAACCCCCAGCCCCTTGATTCTTTATAACAACATGAAAATTCAGGAGACAAACACAAAAGCGACCTGGCTGGAGTACCAAACATGTAGCTGCAGAGTGTCCTCACTTAAGACCTTAGGTTGAACTTGTTGACAGAAACCGTTTTAAAAATTTGCAGCCCAGGCAAAATATGCTGCTTCTTGGCTTTAGTTTGTGAGTTATTCCAGATAAATTTAGCATTTTTTGGATTCTGCAATGAAGCTTTTCCTGGAATTTGAGGTGTCACGACCACACCTGTGAAGTTCTGGGGTAGCTTTCTCTTCCTAGTGAATCTCCAGGAAGGGCATTCATTCTTTTTTCTTTTGAGACAGGGTCTTGCTATGTAGCCCAAGCTGGCCTTGAACTTGTGGCGATCCTCCTGAGTTCTGGGCTTATAGGCATGCACCATCATGCCTAGCTTATACATTCTCAAATTGTCTTTAATACTCTAAAAGTTAGGTTAAAACTAATACTTAAAAATTTTAAAGATTTTTAAAAATCTCTTTTGGACAGATTATAATGGTATATACTTATGTGACCATGGTGTAATATTTTTTTGCTCTATTGGTGAATAGAATGGTGACTAACAGTGCAGTGTATACTGCAAATACTGCAAAATCGCTGAAAGAGTTCAGATATTTTCACCACAAAAATGATAAGCATGTAACGTGGCGTATTTATTAATCAGCTTTATTAAATCATTTCACAATATAAAGAATAAAATTTTAAAATTCATGTTTTCGGGAAAGAAAAAACTACACTGGTCAACTACGTTGCCCGTAAGTGATAAAAAACAAATTAACCAATATTATAATTAAGTTTGCATTGGCAAATCAAGTTTCTTTCTAAGACCTTACAACTGATTCACAATTTAAGTTTTAAAAACAAACAAAAACAGCCTCCAGTAGTCAAAAGAATTTTCAAGCCAAAGGACAAAATGTCCTTTAGTTGCAACCATAGCACGCTATCTGGCAGCAGAGGTTCTCACCAAATGTTTGAAGAATTAAACCAGCCACAAACAAGCTGTAAGAAAAGTTCTCTAAAAGAATGCAATATAAATACTAAGAAAAAGCTAATAAAATGCTAGTCGTAATATTTTTTCATTAAAATACTAAATAAATACCCTCTTCAAAGAAACTTAACTGTACATGTGCATGACGCCCACTTACTATAAATAGGGCTCACACTCTTTCCTCCAGGTCTGGTTTGTATATTACCTTCGTTAATTTTTAGTGCCCTGATAGGCTGACCATGCCAACCTATATTTCTGGGCTATGGGCCCTACAGCATTTGGTACTTCTCTGTGAATCTAAACTAATTTAAAAAAAAAAAATCTAAAGAACACTTTAATTAGTTTAAATCTGGTGGGGCAAACAACATAATACTGACGACTATACATATGTCCTAGCCAGATCTAAAGTATTGTTCAAATATGGGCAATCTGGGGTGAATTCTACAACTATGTTAAAACCAACCAAGACCAACTGAATTTTCTCCCTCATATTTACTACTTTTAGATATTCTGATTTTATGTTTTCATATCTATTTCTAAACATAATATTTTCTACTAGTTATTTACTTATTCGGGACTCCTATTCTGGATTCAAGTACTCTGGGTAAGGTGAAAACTCATAATACATTTATTAAAGATAGCGCCACAAATCATGTAAACCCTATACACTATTTAAAGTATGATTCCTATCATTCCTGAATTTAACACTCAGAGTATCGGAAAGTTCTTTGGGCTTGACAATTTGAGGTAACTACTATTTATTAAAAGACTTCTTTGAGGGGGCTGGGGATTTAGCTCAGCGGCAAAAGCGCCTGCCTGGCAAGCGCAAGGTCGTGAGTTCGGTTCCCGGTACCGGAGAAAAACCAAAAAAAAAAAAAATAAAAAAAATAAAAGACTTCTTTGAGCCATATTATTCCTGTTAAACACACATTCTTGGACAACTTTGGTTTGTCTTCCTTTTGAAGGAGAGAAAGGAATTCCAAAATTACCAAACTTCTTTGTATCTGTCACTAGTATACTTGCAATGAAACAGCAGTGAACCCAAAATGACACATACTAAATCAAATACAAACACGGAAATTGTCACACTATATATCCGCGGCAGCTGTGCTTCTTAAACATTACTTTAAAGGACATTTCATTATAATTAACACAGGCATACACTGATTATCAGCCTGATGATTTTAGTAATTCCAGTTTTTCTTGCATTTATAGTCTATAATGTATATAAGGCATTTTGGTAATTTCTAAAATAAAAGAAATGTTGCAGAGTACTTAATGGGAGAACGTAATGACCCTGAAACACTGCTGAACCAAAAGGTCACCTGTTCCCCAAACCGTTGTCTTAGAAGTTACCTAACAGCCCTGGCAGCATGCTGTTGCTTCATCTCACCGAAACTGTTATCAAACACTCTTAGCATGACACAATTCATGAATAATACTAACTCACCCAAGCTGTTTTCCTCAAAGTTACATAACACTGTTCACTTTAAAATATTAAGATTCACTGATGCCACCTGCAATAAACAGACTACATATGTAACTTTCAAAGGCTGCCCAAGACGTGTGCTACTGCTGCTTAACTTAAGTGATCAACATTGGAAAAAAACCACTCATTCTATTGGTAGTTTTTAAAAAGGGGGATTAAAAAGTTTTTAAAAAGAGATGCATGACAGTACATACAGCAAATATTACTGTATGAATTTTAATGTCTGTATTTTTAGGCTACAAAAAAAAAAAATGGTAACGTTGGCCCAGGTTGAGGTAACTGGTCCAGGTTCAAGGAGATAATCTTTGTAATTTTTGAAGTATTATTATTACTTTCATCTGGGAAGTGGCACACATTACTTTCCCTTAGAGATTCACAAGGGCGCCAAGTAAAAGTCCTAAGCATACCTGTAAGGTGCGCTCCCTGCTTTGTTTCCAAGGCCGCCTTTTATAGCCCGTGGACCCACTACCTCAGAGAAGACATTTGGGAAACACCGTTCTTCAGTAAAACATGACATTTTGTTTGACTTAATTTTTCAGTAAATATTATTGTAGTAAAAGTTAACAGTTATATTAGTCTTCATGGGTACAAAATGCACTTCAAGACAGTTATAAATACTAATCTTAGAAATTTCAGAATATTTATGATGCTTTTCGTCTATGAGTCCCTCTACAATTACCCCAAATCAAATAATAGCCATTTTGGTGAAAGACAAGACAGAAATTTTAATATAACCAGGAAGTTTCATAAAAAGCAACTGAACTGAACAAGAACTCAAATCCCTGGTATTTGGCTGGAGGTTAATAGTATATATGTATACAAATCAATGAGGAATGCGGCTAGGCTGCTATAACCCGCACACTTGCAAAACAAAAGAGCCGAACAGAACAGGTCTGAACATTTGAACAGAACACTGGAGAATAACTTCCACTGTTGACTCTTGTGTTGACCAACATTTTTACGCTTTTCTAAAACTTTTGTGTTTTTTTGCTAGTTTGTTCAGAAAGTTGACAAAAATACCACTTCCCTGACTACATGACTTCACTTCCATAAGAAAATGTAATCACGCTGCTTGGAATATGAATATAATATTTCTCAGATTACTTTCAGGAGAATTATTCAAATTTATCCATCAGAGCTTCATTCAAGGTGATGCAAGTGAATATTTCTTCAAAACACATGAGTAAAAAGACACGTTGGGCACTTACTAAGACTATGCATCCAGTTTTGCTGTGCAAATGCAATCCAAACCAGGCAGATAGGTCATGATTATTTCACAGTTAAGTCAGCCAAGCCTCTGAGTGTCCAGTAAAGTAAGTTCTCTTGCTGTCTCTATTGTCCTGACCCTCCAGCTGCAGGGCAGAGCACAGGCACAGCGGTCCAGCCCAGCGCTCAACTTTCCAGCTGTCTTAGTGATGTAATTATCTCATAACAAAATATCTCCCCGAACTAACTCTGCATCCTACCCACTGTAATTCTTAATGACTGCTTCCTGTTCATGTTCTCAATTTAACTTGCTATTCGGGATCTACTACATAGGCCTCCATCTAATGGATGGGATTACAGCCAATAGGTCTGGGATTTCCAAAGATTACAATTTACAAAGGTTTCCCCAACAACATGCTTTGTAAACACAAGCTCTGCCTTTCCATTGTGGTTACAATAAAGGGGAAATCTGTATTATTTGCTGTGATTACACTCTGAACTATCACAGGAAGTTCTATGAGGATTTTTTTCCTGTGAGGTTTTTTTTTTAAACATACTCTTCAATGTTCGGACTTCAAATAATTCAAGAACTGAGACATGTCTGATACAGCTGCTTAAAAAAATTTTTTTTTGAACTAGGGCCAGTACTTGGAATTGAGAAGAATTTTTTCCTTGCCTAATCTGCTCCTCAGAAGCCCATGAAGTGCACTTGGTGGGCAATGTTTGTAGGTACCAGGGTCACACATCTCACAAGCCCTGTGCTACAGGATACTGGCCAGGGTGTTCTCTTTTTGCTTGCTAAATACCAACTCCGTGTGTACTGATTCTGCACCCACATTGAATGACACAGCTCTACACGTATCTGCCACCAACAATAAGGATGATGTTGCTAAAAGGAAATTGCTATTTCAGCAGCATCTAAAATATTTACAAGTTCCTGTCATGTGCAGGCACTAAGTTTTACAGCTTCCAACAGATCTTAAGCCAGATGTTGTCTTTTAAGAGCTTTATTACCTAGTTGTGAGATAGA